CCAACAGAATATGAAATCCAGCATGGGCCCTTTTGTATACTTGTGGCCAGATAACAACTGGGACTATCCCGTGGTCATCACTGGCAGATGTGGGATCCTGGGTAGGCAATGTTAGTGTGAATTCCCCTAGGACAAGGAGTTGGGTTATCCAGTTGCTGATATTCAACTCCTGTCCAACTGTTATCCCTGTGAGGTAGTCTAGACAAGAAGCACAACCAGGAGTACTAGCATTAATCTTTATTGTAAGGTTACATTAACAGAATCTTGCAAGACTGAAAGTATTTCTCCCCTCCTTTCCTTTTACTCTCCGGAAAACTAGGATGGGTCCCTTCTGAAATATTTCCCATGACCTCCCACCTTTTGTGGGCTGATATACCTTTTACACACTGGGTGTCCAGTCTGTGGCTCTCCCAAGGTCATTCCCTGTGATGGAATGGACTTATAAAGGCCAGGCTCAAGAGATAAGCGTGTTCTTAGCCCCCAGCAGGAGAGTGGGAAGTTCAAGATGAGGCTGGCAGCTCCCTAAGGAATTCACGGTGTTGTGGCTGGCTGGCTTGAAAACTAGGGTTCAGTCTGGTGAGATTTCTGTCTTGAGGTTGAAGCTAATAAACACAACCAAATTGTATTTGTATTGTCTCTTGGAGTTCTTTGGGCTGAACGTGACATTCCCACATACCATGACATCCCCTTATATTATGGGCTTTTTGATTAAAAAAAAATCTTCCTAGTGCTGCTCCTATACCTAGAAGATCACTTGGTAGTAGGCACTTGAGATGAGTGCATGCACCATAAATAAGTCTGTGTCAACAGAGGGTCCTTGTAAGAGGAGGAAAATCAAATAAGTCCTAGAAACAGTAATCCTTGCAGCAAATCCATTCAGTTCTAGTTTCATAGGGGACACTGTTGGGGCAACAACAACCTTGTTTCTTGAATTGACTATCGGAATGATGAGATCCAGGTTTCTCTCTGTGGGGTGTCAGAGAGAACTGCTGCTCCAAGTCTGTAGCAGGAATGAGCAATAGGGGTGTGTCAGTTTGGCCCTGTGTTGGGACTTTCAGATATCTCCACAACAGAGCACCCAATAATCCCAGCTTCCCTTTTAATCTTGAAATAGAGGTCATTGCCAAGCTCTAGAATTTGACATAAGCCTAGGCCTTCTTATATTCTCTAGAGGGCAGTGGCACACCCCCTGGGACAAGCAAAAATATGGAGTCCCATTGATATCTCTGCGGATGAACTGCACCGAGTCATTACACCCTGTATGGATGTATCTGTCTTTGCACATCCAAAGTTACGGTCTAAAGATATCATTTTTTTATGAGGTAGGTGAATTTTCAGTTAGGACATGATTTTTACTTTGGGGGAGTATCCAGACATTAAATCCCCCTCTGATAGTCTGACATAAAATCCAGCAGCAGAAACATCACATGTTGTCTACTGATGATTAATCTCAGCTAAGATTTTGATTGTCGTGGCTATGCATAAAACCTAAGTTAGAAACACAACGAGAGAGGCTGTATTAGAAGCTCTTGCCTAACAACTCATATCATATTAAATGTGCATTTAAGTGTGAAATTATGCATTTTCTTGGATTGTCCAAAAATACCTCTTTTTGGTTTGGGTAGGCTTTGGGGGGAGGTGTAGAAAAATGTGTTGTACTACCTCATTAATGTATTTTCTATTTCAGGTGCTTTTTTAAAGACCTGGCAGTGTTATTAGATTGGCTGTAGAAATGGTCATACCTAGCCTGAGTGAAGTCAATGGGTCAGAAGTCAGAATTTACTAACCTTGTTGATTTCAATCTGTCTGTGTTCTCTGTAACGCAAGTCTGGCTTCAACCTATTAAGTTGGGATTTGTTTTCAGAGTAATCTAGCCAACCATAAAGGAAGAAAAGGCTATACTCATTCTCTGGTCTCCTGTTAATAGAGTAGATCTAACCTGGGGAGGCTACTCAGCCTGGTTCACAGTGCTGCCCTACCCCAACCAAGTCTCGTTGCTCTAATCTGTTGACATGTCTAGAGTTGATCCTGCCCTCCATTTCATTTTGTGTTGTCTTTCTTTTTCTAGTGCCAGGACCAAATCCATCTGCTGATAATGACATCAGTGTTACAATGATAATGGTGGGCTGGCTGGTTCTGGCACTAGTCTTATTCTTGATGAGACCTACCAGCTTAAGGAGATCTATTGCTGCTGAAAAGCCGTCTAGCCCACATAACGTGAGTCTGTTTCCTGATGGATTATTTTCCTTGGTTGGGTAATACAGAATGGGAAGGAAATGCAAAAATGCAAACCCTTGCAAAACAGACAGGAGAAAATTATAGTATGGTCATCCTGATTTAGCTTGTAGAACACTGGTTCAATAACAGTGGTTTCTAAGATGTTGTAATATTGCGTTGCTGTTTACTAAAGCCATTCAGGTTAGGACGTATTACGGTGTTATATCACCAGGGCTTGTGAAGAACAGTGGACTTTCTTGCACAGGACTTTCCAGAAAACAGAGAGGGGTGTTTGAATAATACTTTGAACCTACTCATGATAACCTGGTTAAAGCTACTGTCAGATCCAGGCTAGGATTCTGAATAGCATTCCCTTCATTCTCTTGGAGGTTCCTTGCTGGCTATTTTCATTCCTCAGTTTCCCCCTCCCCCAATCAAAATAGCTCTTCATTTTCTCTTCCTCTTTCAACTTTTAACAGTTCCTTGTTCTCTTTGATTGTATTCTTTGCTGCTTTTTCTCTCTCTGCACACACCATACAATATCCCTCATCTCTTTTTGCAGCAGTCATTCTACACACATTTCTTTTCTCGTCCCCAACCTCCTTTGCTTCATCATTCTAGCAAACATCTTATTTCGTACTTCCCATTGGTGTAAGTCTGGGTGCTTCTTTAACACTAATAAGATTCTTTTCATTCTGTTCCAGGTAACCTCCACATCATGTTTTGTTTTGTTGACTTTCTAGTCACTCAACTGGGACATAAGTCTATTCTTCTATTTTTTTTCATACAGTACTCATATTTTTTTCTTCTAGCTGTCATACAGTTTTCACTTGTTTCTTTTAGTTCTGTCCCATTCTTCCTTGTACATATTTTCCAAAGATCCTCTCTTCACGCTTTCAAAAAAATCGCCTGTTTTACATTCAGAATTTCTCATCACCACTGTAACTTTCAATAGATCTCTGCTATTAGATTTTATTTATTCATTTATTTATTTATTAAATTTATCCCTGCCCATCTCCCCCTAATGGGGGACTCTGGGCGGCTTACAACTGATTAAAACAATAAATAAGAATTCAATTACATAAAACCTATATAAAACAGTTACTAAAAAAGAAAGAGTCCCGGAGGCCGATGGTTCAGAGCAGCAAATGCCAGGGCTCTAAGGGGCTAGCCAACCCACATCTGATGTCTTCCCTCCCCATCCCAGGCCAGATGGCAGAGCCAGGTCTTCAAATCCCTCTGGAAGGCCAGGAGTGAGGGGGCCAATCTCACCTCTGGGGGCAAGGTATTCCAAAGAGCGGGGGCTACTGCAGAGAAGGCCCGCCTTCTGGACCCCACCAGTCGAAGTTTCCTATCCATTCATATTACCTAACAGAATAATATTTTCCCAGATTTCATTCAAGGGTAACATGCAATGATTAATTCCTACTATCACATATACCCACAACAATCTAAATGACATAAATTCATACTTTCAAATATACACCTGAGCCCTTTTGTTCATAATTATTCATTTCCATAATTACATTTACACTTTAATTTACATACATGCATTCATCAATTCTGCTCTACAAAATTAGATCACCATTCAGGTCTATTACATTTTCCCCCTTTCCTTTAGTTTCACAAACACACCTAGTAGCCTTCCTTTCATTTCATGCTTTGATAAGTTCTTTTTACTATCGCTCTTCTGCTGTAAGCCTAGACTAGACTACACTAGACCACTGCTCTTCATCCCTACCATGTACAGCATCCCATAATTGTAACGACAGCCCTGGTTGGTTTTTGCACACCTGGCCAGTCTGCCACAAACACAGTCAAAGCCCATCTTTACTCCAAGCATTCTCACCCTATTCTATGCAAACCTGAATCTCAAATCTAGAGATCCTGTTGCAAACCAGCATATAGTTCCCACATTAGACTGACTAGGAAGTACAGACAGGTTATTAACAATTGGGATATTTCCTGGTTTTAATAATTTGCGTTGGCCAATCTGGAATGTTGTTGTCTACCAAGTGTCTACCAAGGACACTGATTTTAGGCGTCCTGTTTTCTGTCAGCCCTACATACAGCTGAGAGACCTAAAGGCCCTGCGTGATAGATAATTCACTGACTAGTGTGCAATTTGCCCATAATTTCCCAATGATTTCTTTTATTCCCTGAAATAATATATTTCAAATACAAATAATATTTGTAAGGGTATATGAGGATCTTTAGGTGGACAACTCCTCCTCTTCTGCATAATTCAAAGGCATCTAATTCAGTATATTCTCAACATACAGGGACAAGAACCACCAGCTCCACCCGTGGACTGAAGTTTACTGGAAAAGCTCAACAACTTTAACCTTCAGTGACCAAAAGAAAGAAAATGACCACAATATTCCTAATCACTGTACAATATGGTTCTGTTCTGTACATGTAACATCCATTTGCTTTTTCTATTTCTTAAATGACATTTAAATAAATTAACATGATGTGGTGGGAAATAACAGCATTTCAATGACGACTGTTGAACCTATGTCCACTGCAATATTTAAAGGAAAAAGTTAAATTTATATATTGATAATCCGTTGATCTTTTTTTATACTAGTAGGGGGGGTTTTTTTGGTCCAGAGAGTGGACGTTGCAACAGTGGCACAAGCCACCAGTAAATTTCTCTCTGATCCTTGTGTACCCATTTTTTGGGAAAGTTCCATAAAAGTTTCCAGTGTGTCCATTCTCAAAAGTTCATATAAAACAGCCTTCTCCAACCTAGTGCCTTTCACGTATGCTGCATGTTACCTCTCATAATTCCTAGCTAGCAAAATCAGCAATCTGGATGACATCAAACTGGGAAGGGTGATGTACAAGAATCCTAGTCGTACTTTCTCAGTGAGACATTTTATCTTTTTCTGTCTACCAAAATTGTTTTCTTGCATATTAGAATTCGTCTTCTATTAGTCCGCACTATGTTCTTGTCTGCTATAAACACCAAATTAATTATATATATATATTGAAAGGAAGCAAAATAATTAGAATGATGTTAACAAATAAAGCCTGAATAATTCATTGTTACGTTGTAAACTAGCACTACCCTTATTCAGTGATTTTCCTGGGATTTGGGCCCGGGATATCTATTTGGAATTAGCCTCAATTTGAAAGAAATTGAAAGGTGGCATGCACATTGATGCATTTATAGGATTGCCTCCTTCCCTGCAAGTGTTTAAAAGCTTTTATAGTAGAAAGTAAACTCTGGATTACATTAGGTTAATACTTTTTACATTTTATTCAAACGCTAAGAAAAATAACTGAGCGGACAGAGTAATTTCTTCTGTTTCAAAACTGACACAACCAAATGCTTCTCTGCATGTGGCCATAGCACAATCCCAGATTGCACTCCTGAAATGTGGTGACAAAACTGCAAATTTTGGGTGATACACCACTTAGAGTTAAGAAGTAAAAGTGGCATGTTAAGCTTCTGTGAAGCTCAACACATTGATTTTGTCCCTTCCCTAAAAATGAGCTAAATGTTTCGGCCATATCCATTCCGATGATCTTGCTGCATTGCTGGCCATTTTGTTTGTGGCTCTTGGAAAGCTGATCAGATACCAGAGATAACTTAGGTCCTCTGGCTGTAAAAAGATGACCCACCCTCGCAGCATGGTAAATTATGAAATTAAATGACCACTGCTACAACCTTAAGATCCGTACCAGTTTTTAAAATCAAGGACTGAATTATTCCATTCTGAGTATTGAAAAGAAATTACAGCGTCCCTGGGATGTGCGTGTAGGCTAAGGTGCTTGTGCAAGTGATATTTTGGTACTTTTCTGATATTTTCCAGGTCTGTGCATTAGTGTAGTGCAGAGAAATAGCATGCTGTCTTTTTATGAATGGAAATCAACAGCGTATCTGCCGATTGCCATATGTTCCCACAAAAGGGCATACGTTAAGGTTTGCCTTAGTGACTGCCATTTTTAATTAAAAATTATGTTCTGTGCATTATCAGTCACTTCATAGGTTTCCCTAAAATACACGAAGCAAACATTTAACCCCCATTTGTGAGAACACATGGGATTTTGTGGGGGGGGGGGATGAGTATTTTTTGCATGCCCCAAATAGAGGGTATTTCCCACTATTCTGCATCGTGAAGCAGCAGATCAACATGAATAACAGTCTAGATGTACAGAATCATGTACAGAATCATGTTTCTGAGCCATTTAAAATGTTTCATGCTTAGTTATTCAACTGGGGTGCCAGCCAGTTAGAAAACCCCCTCTTCCCACAGTGTTCAAAATCACAGTGTTCTCATTTGTAATCTAAGTTGATTCAAACCACAATTCTGTTACTTCAGAACACATGATGTGTAAAATGGCTTGAGGGATGTAACTGCTGGGCTCCTTTGAACTGACTGTTCAGTGAGATAATGGGCCTGCCAGTAGTGGAATTTGAAGCTTCAGTTTACATTCTTGTGCATAATGTTAGCCTTCCTGCTGTATTTTTTCCTTGAATTACTGGCAAGGGCAATACAGGATTGTTTGAATGACTTGACTTTTTGCGTGAATATACTTCCAGGGTAAGTTTTGAAAAAGTTTTATGTTTTAAGCAATTTCAGAATCTTCATGCAGGCAAATTCTGTGCTTTAGTCTGCTGTTCTGTTCAGCGAGACTAACTGCTGAGTAAACATGCATAACATTGCATCCTTAATACTACAAGGAATTTTGCCTGTTTTTCTTGACTATTTTCAAGAACACACAAAAATTTTCTCCAACCTGCCAAATTCATTTAATAAGCCTACAGTGCTTTTTATTTATTTATTTATTTTGGCCTTAAGGTGTAAGGACAAGAACATTCTTTCATGTATTCATTGGAGAAGCCCTGACACTTTGATCTCTTTTGTTGGGTCCAGGTGGTGCAGGAGTTTAAGGGGTTGGACTAGGAGCTGGGCATCACAGCTTCTTGTTCATCCTTAGCCACAGAAGTTCACTGGTGACTTTGGACCATTCTCTCAGCTCAACCTATTCCACTAAGTGGTGGTTTTAAAAAAACTGGAAGAGATAGACCTCTGTATGTTGCCTTTAATTCTTGGAGGAAAGCCATGATATAAATCTAACGAATATAACGAGGTGGTTGAAGGTAACTTCCCAGTTCCACTTTATTCCATTCCCTTGACAAAAATATGGAAACCTGCTGAAGGTAGGGGGCTGTTGAGATCTGCCCCCTCCAAACTGGAAGATGGTAACTTGCAGGCAGGAGATCTATTTGTAGAAATTGGCTACATGGGTTATTTTGAATGGTGACTCCTGTGAGTCTAAAATCCAACTCGTCGTGGATCTGAAGGATGGAAAATCTATTTCAACCAATCCTGTAACTAAACCTAATTCATTAATCTGTTATATATTTGTACAAGGATTAAAGACATATGCTTAAAAAGTTTCTCAGTTCGTACACAACTGAGCCAGCTTGGTGACAGGCCCATCCATTATACCTGCATTTGGTCAATTTATTTCAATGAATGAATGTACTGTTTGTATTATCTTTAACCTGGGAGCAGCCTGGTCTGTCCCAACATTTGCCCATCAAATACTGTTTTTCAGATTTCAGAAATCCATTCTGAATCTTCTGCCATGGAATAGCATTAAAGGATTCTGGGAACCGTTCTAAGGATTACAATACTGTCGCTGGGAATTTCATAAAGTAGCATTTGAGAACCTTTCTACAACTTTCCAGAAAAAAACGGTGGCTGGGTTGCCTTTCGGGCAAGTTTATTCATCTTTATCAACCTTGTAAAATACACCCTTCTAGGGAGCAGAATAGTTTTAAGAATGGGAAGCAGTGATGGGTTTTCGGACTGAATGGCCGTGGTCTAGTTTTATTTTATTCTCAAAGTTAGACCACGGCCATTCAGCCTGAAAACTCATTGCTGCTTCACTGATTCCACATATGAAAGTCTGTACCAGTATATAGTTGTAAGAATAGTTTATAAGACTATTGGTATAAAATTTTGGATAGAGAGAGACTGGAAAAGCAAGATGTACATTAGTATACAGATGGTTCATTAGCAACTATAGGCCGGCAAGATGCCCCAACTGCAGTCTCCTTCTGAAGCTGGGAGCAACTGGAAGACAGTTCCCCACTGTAGGAAACACCAGCACCGCCTTACGAAACTAGGCTCTCACACAGCTACAATATAATCTGCTTTGCATTAAAGGTTCGGTACAGGACAAGGTAAATTTACAGCATATACGTTAGTTTATAATCACCTAATATTCTTTCTGCTCTAAATGAGCAAGCTAGACATGTGGAAGATCTATGATCGCTATTTTCAAAACTTAAAAAAGATTTACTTTTAAATAAATAAATAAAGCCTTTTAAAAAGTTAGTTACAGGATAATGATAGAATTAGCAGAGTGGTGACATTTAGAAACCATTCCTCCCACTAAGCTGCTTCAAAAAAAGGTGGTGGTGGGGTTTAATTGTGAAAATACCATGCAGAAAATAAGGCTTAGAAATTTTTTTACTGACACTGCAGCTTGTATGAAATGCCAGCCGCCAACTCCAACTGAATTTTTTAAAAAAGAGATCTTAAATCATAGCTTTTCTACTTAGTGAACTTCTGCAGCATTTAATATTTAGGTGTCAGAATCAATATTTCACATTCATATATAGACTGTCAACAGCTCATTCTGCCTTAGTTTAGGATAATTCCCTTGGGCAAAAAGATTTGTAATACTGTGATGGATTTTAGTGGCTTAAATTATTTGAATCATGCCAAACACAATGATCTGTGCCATGTAATAATCCTTTACTACAATATTTGCTTTGAAATAAAGGGCTTGTTCTATGCACTTTTTATCTATCAATAAAGAGAACCACTAATAAACTTCTGAAAGTCTGGATTTTATATTTCCTGATATTTCATTTTGGGATGGGGGAATACTGGTCTCCTTTGCTAACACTTCGCTCCTCTCCCCCTTATACTAGCCTGTGCTCTGATTTCTGAGCCACTTGTGATTTTACAGTGACCTCAGCGGGACTAAGCGTTTATCCAGTTTTTATTGAAAATCAAGAGTTGTGTAGGTGTGTTGTGTTCAGTGGATTCACATACAAGACTGTGATCTTAAAACGGTCTATTTCCCCTTATTCTGAAATCCCAATTAAAAGCGTCCTGCAGCTTCCTATGGGCAAAAATGCCAGCGTATTTACGTATCCCAGAGCTGTCCAGGAGTGCGTGGACAGATTACAGAAGCACCTGTTAGACGCTGAAAAGGCATTGGGAGGTTTGGAAACTCACTCACCTTTGGGGTGGGGTCTGAGTCTCCTCCCAAAGAACGCCCCACTGAAGGTTCTCAAAAAGCATCTTCTTTCAGCCAGTAGTGAGTCACAGTCATCTATCAGCAATGCTGTAATTTGGATTTCTGCACTGAGCAGGTCAGATTTACCGGCATAGCAGCTGCTTCCTGATTCTCTAACAGCAACTAGTGTGAGAGTTTTAGGGGGAAGAGAATGAGACAGAGCAGGGCAAATCATGCGCCGTGGAGATTCTGTATCTGTTACAACATTGTTCTGATCTTATTTTGTAACTACACGGTTGTGTTTTTGAGAGATTAACATCTTGCTCTCAAAAGTTACATAGGGTTCTTGTTTATGGAGCAGATGAATTAATTGGTATCTACAGTTATCTATCAAAACTGGTTTTGCGTTATACATACAAGGAAAGAGCCAGAAACAGCTCTCAGAAAGGTGACCGCCGCTACAATGTATGTATAAGGATCAATAATAAAGCCATTCGTTCTAAGGTTACAACAGTGTCCTCCAGAAAATCTGGTAAAATGGCATCGTCCCGATAAATGGCTGAGAGCTTTCCTTTCCCAATACCCTTCCAAAACTTAAAATTCTTCCACGAATTTTTGCTCCTAATTAAAACTGGGAAACTCAACTGAATGGTCAGAAAGGGCAGAGTGACTATGTAATTTTCCCATTTCCAGGCTACTTGTATCAGAAAGAGAGCTTGCAACTTCTAAGAGACCACAGATTTCCCTCAAAATCAGCTGCTTGTTTTCGTCTTTCTAAACGTCTAACCAGGAAGCCAGATGTTAGCTGGCTCTGCTTGCTGAGCTCTGATGCCTTAATGTGCGATTTAGCCTGTTGTGTGACCCCAAGCGACATCAATTGTAAACCTAGTTTTATAACTTAGCAGGCTGGGAGTCTTGAAAATCATGGCATATTTAGGAAAACAACGTTACTCTCTTTGCTGATCCGTAAACATCAGTCGTAACTTCATTTGCGGGTACGGGAAACCGATGGAGGAAGGGGTCTGGTGCCCCACATAGAAGATTAAAGGGGAAAAGTGGGGCCGCGCCGCGCCGCGCCGCGCCGCTCATCTGCATGTGATCGCGTGTCACGGTCGTATTTCCTCGCCAGGTCGCTACTTCAGACGCCGGGCAGGGCTGGCCTCCGGGCTCGGAAGCAGACGGGGCGGCGAGGGGGTCGCTGCTCGGCCCCACACGGAAAGCCCGCGCCCGAAGCTCGCCCTTGAAAGCTACAGGCCGTCTTTGCGCACGATGCTGATCAGCAGAGAACTGAATTAGCCATGGTTTACTGAATTGACCAGCGGCCACTCGCTTAGGATTTCACTGCAACTCGACAGCTCCTCGGGCAGGAGTCGCCAGAAGCAACGTTCCGCCGTTGCGCCTTGGGCAATCGTGCTTCGCAAACCGGAGTTACTGCGCAACCCGAGGGAACCGCTCTCCGCGGAGACCGCCGGGGAGGGGCGGCGGCGTCGGGGCAGCTCACGAAATAAAC